ATTTTTCTTTGATATGAACATATATGTTAACATACCATCTTGTATGTCACAATATTCTTTAAGATGATAAATTCAATTATTTATTGGTGCATCCAATTGGGATGATAAACCCAATAACCGTATCAAGGCTCTCGATGAACATATGGATGTGAAGCTTAGAAGAGGAAGAAACCGATAATAGCTGCAACACTAATAATCTTGGTGGCTTCGATAGCAACGACATTAGAGGGTGCATGCTCTGGTGCTGATTCTAATGCGGAATCATCAGATTTAGGGCTATCACTGTCAGATTTAACACCCTTCTTTTTATGGGTAGGAGCAGGAGACTCAGAAATATCATCATTATGGGGTGGTGAAGGAGGGGAAGACACCTCCTCGTTCGGATACTCAGAGTCTGAAGAGGATCCTTTCTTTGACTTGGGGCTAGGGCTGGGAGAATACGAGCTTGAAGAACTTTTTGGGGCTTCCGAAAGAGATGACTTGGGTGACCCTCCACCGGATTTTAACGATGATGGAGAGGGGCTATTGGAGGACAACTTGGGGGAAGATGCATGAGACTTAGAAGGTGAAGAGCCTTTAGAAGAGGCTGGTGAAGGCGATGAATCGCCAGCAAATGCCCCAACAACAACCACTAAAACAAATGCAAAAACAATAAGATCTTGTTGTGCCATCTTCTCTTTTTAATTCTTAATAGTTTGTTATATCATTGTTGCAATTTCTCTAAGATGTATAGAGAAACTGCGTAATGCTAATGAATGAGTAGAAAGAATCAATTACATCTGGTTTAAATAGATCCTAAACAAAAATCATTTGTCCAATGCTATGGAAATGAATTGTTTGGTTTAACGGATTTCATGCTTTTCTTGTGGAATAAATTAAACCTTAACATCTTACAAGAACATAACATAGGTTTGTTTTGTTATCTTTGAGGCTTTCTTGTTTTACGTCCATTTGTTAGAGAAAAGTTGATAAAAGAAAAAGCTAAATTAGTAAATAAATGTTATGTAAATACTAACATTTTTCCTTTTTAAGTGGAGGCTAAAACAAATTAGTTAATCAACCATGTTTAAACTTATAAAATTATCTTTTAATGATTCAATTTTTAAGTTTCAATTAAGAGATAAACAAAGTACATTAAAAATATAGTATTTTTTTTTTAAAAAAAACATAAATCATATACTCATGTTTTGTTGAGTCCTACAATTTAAAATTCTACATCTAGTATTTAATTTCTAAACATAATATTAAAATAGAAATATTTGTGTAAATTAAAGTTTCATTGTATCAAATAAATTCTTTTATAAAAATATTAGAAATTATTTGATACAATTTCGATACATATTTTTTATATCAATTTTTTTTAAAATTTTATAAATTTAAATTTATAAGCAATGTTACACTTCTAAAAAGTTTTATTGACATATGGATTTCAGTTTCTTCTTGGCAAATCCATTATTGTATATAGTATCTATTTAAATTTATACTTTTTTTATTTCTCGGAGGGTACCAAAATGGAAATATTGTATCTTTTAGGTATAACACCAAAAAAATATTTTTAACATTGATAAAATATATTTTCTAAAAGTATTTTACCCCTAACGTTTAATTTAAAGATAAAAAGACCCATAATATTTGATTAAATAATCATTTTAACCCTTATTTTTGTAAAATATTTTTCTCTTAATGTTTCATTTTAAAGTAAAAAGATCTCTATTTTAAAGCATTAATTATATGTTGACTAATGATTACCATACACAAAGGGATCTTTTTGCCACAAAATTAAATGTTTTGGGCAAAAAATATTCCAAAAAAAAAATGTAACTATTTAGTCAAATTTTATGAGTATTTTTGTCAATGTCTTTTTATAATGATAAATTTAGTTTTTAATCAAATGATTATAATGACAGATCTAAAAATATTTTTTAGGGTAGGCGCAAAAATATTAGTTAAATAAAACTTTTGAGGTAGACATAAATAAATTTTAAGCAAGCTCATTAAAATAATTAATTAACAAAAGAAAACTTGAATTTTAAGATAGACATACGGCTTCCGTGATGAAGGTATGGATCAATGACTATAAAATTATTGAAAATGATGATCAAACTACTAATTTTTCATGGAACTAACATAATTATATACATATACCTTTTTTTTTTGGGTAACAAAGGTTTGCCATTAATTATGAAATATCAGTCTGCCCTAAGGCTGTACAATCGAGATGTTGTTGATTACTATTCTCCAGTTCCTATCAATATGTTCGAAAATTTTGTTCAGCAAAGTAAAAGAGGGGCCTCGAGCGTGCTTCCTTTGAAGTTATTGAGCCACTTCCAAGCTATCAACTTCTATTATCACATTTCTTTCACTTATCCTCCATGCTTGACGTAGCCCTTCGTATACACCCCACAGCTCGGATTCAACTGCAGAGCAAATACCTAGTGCTTTGGTAAGCCGACAGACCTTTCTCCGTTCTCCTTCCTGATCACCCTTCCGCACGAAGCGAAGCTTTGTTGAATTCTGACATGATCCGTCCGTGTTGAGTTTGCACCATCCATGAGGGGGGATTTCCATTTCATACCTTCTTGTCGTCTTTTTGTTCCTTTCGATTTATTTTGGTTGTTGCTGATCTGATCGTTGCCTGGCACTCCTCTTGCATGCTCTTACTACGTTCCAGAACTGTTTCTATCCCAAGGCTATCCGAATAAAAAATGGTTGCATTTCGTTGTAGCCATTATAGCTGTAAATGAGACGAGACAGATCGCGAGCTACTCGAGATCGATTCGATCAAAGTTCGATCAACACTCGAATCGAATGAACTCGACTCGAGTTCGAACTCGACTCGAATTCTTAACGAGCTAAAACGAGCTACTTAATACTCGACTCGAAAAGCTCGCGAGCTACTCGAAAAAATGTTATATTAATTTTAGATTTTTTAAAATTACATTATTATAAATACATTATTAATAATTATAAAATTTTAAAAATACATTTTTAAATGTAATATAAGATTTTGTAGGTTCAAATTCGAGTTTGAGTTCGAGCTTGAATCGAGCTCAAAATTGTGCTTCAATCGAGATCATGAATTTTTTTGTGTTCGAGTCTTTTCGAGTTCGAGTCGAGTTTCAATATTATATTTCGAGTTCGAGCCGAGCGTGATAATTTTTAGCTCACGAATTTTCGAGTCGAGTCGAGCCTAATTTTAAACTTTTCAAGTTCGAGTCGAGCTCAGCAATACTCGAGCTCAACTCGGCTCGTTTACATCCCTAGTTAGCGATAAGGAACATATGATAGATCAGAATAGTAAACCCCAGTTGTTCTCCTCTATCGCAAAGTAGCCTGGTTTGTCCAGATTAATTTTGATCCATTTCTTTGTTTTTGTAGCCATAAATTCCACAAGTTTCACATGTTTAATCACCTTCAGCCTGACTTCTTTTTCTTTAGGGCATTCCCTTAACACGTGATCCACTTTTTCCTCCATTGCTACACACACTCCACAATTTGCTCTAGAGGCTATGAGTCTTCTTACCCTATCGCTATTCCTGAGAATTTTGCCGCATGCAGCCAGCCTGGAATATTTGCTTTGTTTGAAGATAGAGGTGGCATGGCATCGTGGCAGCTAATAGTAGCCTTACCTTCTGTGGGAGCGTCCCTATTAACGCATCCCATTTCCATTCGCCCCCTTCATCAACCATTGAATCAATGCTACTGTTGTGTGATTTAGGTGTTCGCAAATTAGTAAATATACACATCGGAAGTTATAGTATAGATTAAGATTGTTTTCACAGGGCTTAGTGCACTTCTACATTATTTCCATTACAATCACTATAAGGTTCAATTTTAAACTCAAGTCATTGTTTCAATCTCTTACTAGAATCACGACCGAATAAATTTATGTATAATTCGATAAACTTTATAATCGGATTCATATCATTTGGTATCAAGCCTTGACGATTTAGTAAGTTGTTAGTTTCTCTCTCCCGGATTTCAAAAAAAAAACAATAAAAAAAGAAGTTTCCAAAGAGAGAGATTATCTGAAACGGAAAAAAATATACAAGAAGGTTGTTTTCATTAATATTTTTGGAATATAGTCCTTTTTTATTTCTTTTTACTTTCACATATTCCGTCATGTTTCTTGAAAGTCACCCATTTGCCTATACATATTTTTTCTATATTTTCTAACCATTTTGTTTTAGTCGATTCTACAAGATCTCTTGTCGAGCATAAAGAAAGTTCTTTTAGGACTTAAAAAAATTAAACAAGAATTGTAAAAGGCAAGGAGTCCCCATTTGTCATATAGCTGACTCCTAGTTCTTTATAACTAGAGAGTTACGATCCATCTACTTCCATAACAAGTTCAAGAACTGCTAAAATTTGGGTCTTTGCTTTTCATAGTGTTGGCTTTATCTTGTTCCCACGCCAACCTTATCCCATAACCTTTGCTTCCATTATCTTCCATACTTCTCATCCTTCCCATAATCATTATTTTCAATCACTTCCCGTATCTTATCCAATTTATAACAACCTTCTTATCACCAATCCATCTTGTCAAACTTATCTATACCATTTCCATTACAATCACTCCAAGGTCCAATTTTGAACTCAAAATTATCATTTCAATTTCTTACATCGGGAAAATTTATATATAATTCGACAAATTTCACAGTCGTTGATAGATAAAGAAGATGCTGTTTCTAGATAAATTTGTTTAAATCACTGTTATAACAGTTCATCCAAACTCTCATTTTCTCCGCATTTATGTCCGCGCATTTCTCTTTGTTGTCCCATTCTTCACGAGCTTTGCACTTAAATGCTTCCCCGTACCATCATCGATCGTGTCGTGTTTATCTTGATATTAGTTGGCTTGATAAATTTCATCGAAATCAAATATTTTTACTGACAAGCAAATAAGGCCAAACAAGATTTTCTTTTGACCAATCAAAATTTACACAAGATATAACAGGCAATCACCATCCGAATATGAACACCACACATTATTTGATCAGAAAACAGTGTTCTTCAACAATTGCTTAAACCACCAGGTAGATTGGATTCCAGATTGCTGGATTTCTACAACCTTTTCAACCATGGAGGATTATTACCAATCTTCCACCTGGTCTGATGCTGAGAATCGGTTTAATTTCAGTGATCAAATAGGCAGAGATTCATCTTTCGTAATCCCATGGACGATACAAGTTGACGGAGTTGCAGAGGATAAAACTTCAACAGTTTACAACAGCCATAGACAAGCCGAGAAACGTCGCCGGGATCGAATTAATGCACAGCTTTCAGCTCTCAGAAAACTCATCCCCATGTCTGACAAGGTACTCTCTTCCTGTCTTAATTGTAAACACTTGATATTTGCAAGATAATTCAATCAAATCTTGGGTTTTCTTTACAGATGGATAAAGCAGCTTTATTGAAAGGCGCAGTGGAACAAGTGAAGGATCTAAAGAGAAAAGCGGCAGAAATCAGCAAAGCTTCCAATATTCCGACAGAAATGGATGAAGTAACAGTGGATTGGGTTCTTCCAGAAGACATAAGCCCCAACAATACTCGACAAGTGATGGGTAGTAGCAGAGACAAGATCTTCATCAGGGCTTCGGTTTGTTGTGATGATCAACCTCAAGTGTTCACCGAACTCATCAAAGTACTCAAAGGGCTAAGGCTAAACACCATTAAAGCTGACATTTCAAGTGTTGGTGGAAGAATGAAAAGCAATTTGATCCTTTGCTGTAACAGCGTTGATGAAGAAGGTTTTTCACCAACCACTCTGAAGCAGTCATTGAATGTGGTTCTGAGTAGGATTGCTTCACCATCTGATGCATCCAATGCTCGTATTAGAAGCAAAAGGCAAAGGTTGTTCTTGCTTTCTCAGTTTACACAATAAACTATACATGAGCTAGATCTTATTACCACTACTTGGGTGAGAAAAAACAAAAATGTTTCTCATCCTTATAAAAAAAATAAGAAATAAATATACATACTATAACATTTTTAAATAGTTTTTTTAAGTTGATGAATCATGTAAATTTTGTTATTTATTTTAAACGGTTGTTTATTTAGATAGTGGTTATTTATTTTAAATAAATATACATACACCATTAAAGTTTAAATAGTTTTTTTAAGAAATAAATAAGGAAGTGGTTATTTATTTTAAAAATAAATTAGCTATAAAATTTTGTTAATTTATGTATTCAAATTTTAAATTTTTAATTTGAATTTTTAATTAAATTGATATTTAATTAGATTACGATATTAATTCAGTAAAAGATTTTTATATATAATAACTACGAAAATATTTAGGAATATCATACATTGATATTCACCACTATTTTTATAGAGTAAAATTCATAAATGAATATTATACTATTTTAAAATGATCTTTTTAGATACTAAATTTTTAAAAGTTACATGATAGACGTTAAACTTTATATTTTGTTACAAAATGGGCACAACATCATTATATCAAGCTAAATTAATAAAAAAATATTTCATTTAACTCTTCAATTGTAATTAAAATTTTATTTTACTGTTAATTTTAATTAAAATAATTTTTATTAGGTTCTTTAAGTCGAAAATAAAATAGATATAAATAAGTTGAATATTAACTTATAGTTTCATATTATAAATATTGAATTCATACCATATAAATTACTTGATACGTTATTAAAATTTAAGGATTATATCGATTATTTTTATTTAAGTTTGGATGTATTTTTCTTATTAATGTACTATAACTTTTTGGATGTATTGTTTTTAAATTGTGTTTAAACTTCTTAAAAAAAAGTTAAATGCTTGAATCATATTGCTTAATAAAATATAATTTGATGATAATTAAAACTTCTGGATCTCCAAATTATATATTTTTTAATTTTACAAATACAATCAAAATTAAATAAATAACTAGTTATAAAAAAATTGTGAATAAAAAAATCACAAAATTATAACTTTTTTTCAATTTTAAAATAAATTGTTCTTATATTTAAAAAAAAGAATTTTTCTGATTTATTTTTAAAATTATTACTTAAAAGTATTGGGAAAATATCAAAATAAAATTTAATTATAATTGAGAAGTTACAAATTGATCACCCGACTATAGGGTGTTGTTTTGTTGAGTCTCTCAACAATTAGAAGTTACAAATTGATCACCCGACTATAGGGTGTTGTTTTGTTGAGTCCTTTAACTATTAAAAGTTACAAAATGATCATTCGATTATTCATATGTTATAAACTCGTCCTTTTCCATTAAAAATTAGCAATCGTCTGTGCTAAACATTAACCTATTGACTGTTGTATGAGAAAATCTGATCCCATAACCATTTGAGTCGTATTTTGTTGATCGACTCTCCGTTTACATTATGTCATCGAGCCAATGCTTGAAACATTATGACATCGAGCCAGAGTTTGAAAGCAACGGTATTAATAGACATCAATAAAATATGATTTTATCATATCACAATCAACAATTAAACATCTAGCTCATAATAATGTCAATTTTTTTAAAAGAAAATGATGAATTCGAAACATATGAATAATCAAATGATTATATTGTAAGTTTTAATACTCGGAGAGCTCAACAAAATAGTATCTTATAGTCGGGGGACTATTTTATAGCCTTTAATAGTCAGGAAACTGAACAACCAATAACTTATAGTCAGAGACTATTTGTATACTTTACCTAAAAATTTAATAATTATTTATGAGTTTTATTATTTTTATACTAATAGTGCATAACGGTATATATCATTAGTGGTGCATATCAATGTGTGACATCCACATTAAATTCGTCCTAATAACTACGTTCATTTCTAGATGGTTTGTTTGCAACTAGCCTTCGTTCTTTTTCAATTTTGCATTCGCGTATTTGATTACTGGTCATTTTTTTAACAGAAATTTGATTATACTTTTATATCCAAAGAAGTATCTAAGTTATTTTGCATTTGAATACTTGGTCATTGATCATTTGTTCAAAAGAAATTTGGTTGTACACTTCATTTCTCGAGGTTAAACATGTATACATTTTTTAAATATTATATTTTCAATTTAAATATAATGTTTAAAATAAATATTTTATTTTTTAAATCAATTTTTAACAATAATCCTAAACAATTAAATTTTAAATTGTACTTTTCAAAAATACTTTTAAAAGTATTTTTCACAGCACTTTTTAACATCATTAAAAATTCATATTAATTTTATTTTCTGAATTCAAATTATGATATATACCTTAAAAATATAAACACTTTTTATTTATTAAAAAAGGCTTGTTGCTTGATGATGTAAATCATGCAATTACCAAGCTCACCTAGTTAAGCCACCACCTATCCACATTTCAGATTGACTTTTATTTTAACAATAAATATATTAAAATAGAATAAGAAATAAAAAATTATAGGGTAAAGCACTTAGATGGTCCCATTACTATAGATAGGGATAGAGCTAAGATTTCAATTTAAGAGGGGTAAAATATAATTTTTTTAAAAGTAGGAGGCAATTCATAATTATCCTATAAATCTTAAATTTTATATATAAATTAAATATAAAAAATATTTTTTGCCTGGTTATGGGGCAAGCTCCTCCCATGTATATACTAGTTTTGTCCTTTGAGGGTATTACTTTGCTGAGTCCCTTAATTATTAAACGTTACACCATGGTTCCTCGATGACATTATTTTGTGAGAATATTAAAAGTTACAAGATGGTCACACGTTTATTCATATATTTTAAATTTGTCATCTTTTGTTAAAAATTTACGGTCGTTTGAGATGAATGTTAAATTGTTGATTGGGATATGATAAATTTTGATCATACAACCATTTGAGTTGTATTGTGTGGATTAACTCTTTGTTTACATTATGTTGTGATGTCGAGTAAATGCTTGGAAGTAACGGTGATGTCAATAAACATCATAAAAATATGATTTTATCATATATCAATCAATAAGTTAATGCACAACTCATACGGTTGTCAATTTTTAACAGAATAGACCGAGTTTCGAACATATAAATAGTTGAGGTGATCATATTGCAACTTTTAATAGTCGGAGACTCAATAAAATAACATCCTATAGTCGGGATTATTTTGTAATTTATAATAGTTATAAGACTCAACAAAACAACGCCCTATAGTCGGAGCGTTGTTTGTATAGTTTATCTAAAATTATAAAATACCTAACACACGCTTAGATATGCTAATATAATATAAAAATGGATGTATAAATTATCTTCACACATAATTTAAAAAACTATTTCAGATTTTCAAAAAGAAACGGTTATAACTTCCTCCCCACTTCCAAACCAACACTATGTCTCTATCCATGAAAACAACAAACTGATTTATTAATTTAAAAACGATTTATTTATTTTTTATTATTATTTTAAATATCAAGGAGAGAAACTGAAACTAAAACGCTTAAACCATGGCCCGAAGTCGTTATTTCAACGGAGCGGTTTTGTGGCTCACACCACCAACCTCTCTGAAACCGTTTAAAACTAAAACCCTATTTCTTTTCTACAAAAATATCGCAATTCGCTTTGATTTTAGATTTTTGGGATTCTTTTTGTTCTGAAGATGATCAATGGAGGTGATCGTGTCAAAGGTTCATGGAGCCCACAAGAAGATGCTAACCTGATTAAGCTAGTGGAACAACATGGTCCCAGGAACTGGTCCATGATTAGCTCCGCAATCCCTGGAAGATCCGGCAAGTCTTGCCGGCTACGGTGGTGCAACCAACTCAGTCCAGCCGTGCAACACCGTCCTTTCACGGCTGCAGAGGATTCTGTTATCATACAAGCGCATGCTGTTCACGGAAACAAATGGGCTACAATCGCTAGGATGTTGCCAGGACGTACTGATAACGCTATAAAAAATCACTGGAACTCGACTTTACGTCGGAAACGAGAAACCGAGTTGTCGTCCGGGTCATTGGAGTCGAACTCAGGGGTGAAACGGCCGAGCCAGGTTGGATCCGAGTCTGAGTCTGGAAATAAAAAGCAGTGTTTAGGATTTGTGGTGTGTGAGGATGAGAATTTAGGATTATCAGGGCCCAAGACGTTGCTGACGCTGTCTCCACCAGGAGAGAACGTGGAAGCGGAGGAGGAGGAGGTGGTGGTGAAAGGTGAGGAAAGCGGTGACGCTGGTTGCATCGGAGAGGAGAAAAAGAGAGCGGCTATGGAGGAAACTACCTGCTTGTTAACCATAATGCAACGTATTATTAAAGAGGAGGTTAGGAGTTACATTGATAGCATAATAGCTGATCAAAAGCCATGAAAATAGATGTTACAAACAAACCTCCAATCCCTCTCTCTTTTAATTTCATTTACCTTTTCTTTCTTTCTTTATTTTTTTAGTTTCTAATTCAATAATTTAGAATACATATGGAAACCTTTAGTTTCTCTGTTAGACACTGCGGAAGAACAAAACATGAGATGTGGAATTAGGCTTCATTAAATGATAGAGATATTGAAACAAAGGTTCAACTTTAGTTGTAATTTAACCAAGTAAAGTCCAAGGCAGAACCAAGTTTCAACAATGTCGTGAGGCATGTTTTGTGGATAAGATGATGAACATGCCTAAGACATGTTTGATACACAAGAACACGATTAACCAGTGTTTATAAAACTAGAATGATAGTGAGTTCCCATAATTAAGCTCATATTGGATTGGATTTGTCTGAAGCAACCAACGCATACACATACATGATTACCACTTTCAAGAACGTGAACGTAAATTCTAAATTCTTAGACACGCGAACTACACCATGCAGTAATCACGTGTCGATTACCTACTATTCCTGCGAACACACTTTCTTAACATCACCAACGACCACGTGTAGACACACCTGGTGTCCTGACTCCTAGTATAAGTCCTCACTTTTTAAGACGTCTAATCAATACCAATGACCGAAAATATATTCAGGAAGAGTAGAAGAGACGGTTCACGTCTAAAAATATCATCTCAACACCCCAAAAATTACCGAAATGATCATCAAAACCACCCTTCTATTATCTTCTACTGTTATTGATCACTTTACTAGTCAACAAATTTACTTTCCTCAAACAATTTTCTTCTGGACATAGATACGTACTCATACGGCTATGATCTTTCCATAGTAGATACTGCACAAAAACAGACAGCTTTAGTGGTTTACCTATTCTTAAACCAATTCCATTTCCTAAAATCCAAAGCTTAAACCATTTTTGAGCACGGACTACACATTTTTCAATGCACAATCTCACCAACTTAAACATTGATTCTCAAAACCCTCTCCATGCCCTCTTGTGTGACCCCGCCAATTAAATTTGCCACACAACATAATCATGTTCATAACTCAACTCCTAAACTACCTTCTTAGCTACTCATAACCCATTTTCACTGCTTCAAGAACTTTTCGTAATGGCACAAACATAGCAATTAACGAATTTGCATAAACCATAAAAGCAAACCACTAACTACCATCAAAATGCAAACATCGAGAAGCGTAAATCTTTAATATAAAAAATGGATAAACTACAAAAGTTGATTCTTTCTGTTTTCAATTTATCTTATTTTGGTCACTAGTTTTGAAAAAGTTATATTTTGATCACTATTATTTTCGATTTATCTTTTTTAGTCACTGAACAGTTAAATCATGCTATTTGGCTCACTATTGTTTCTGTTTCGTTGCGCAGCGGGGAAAAAAACTATTCTGGAGATCTCAATCAAGGATCCATGTATGAGGAACGAATTGAATGTGAAAGGGATGAAATTATACTTTTCACACTTTGAAGAAGACGAGGGAGTGTTGCATATTGAATCATTTGCGGGATGTCAAGTTCAAGTCACAAGTTCAAGCAAACTACAAAATCGATTATCTTTAAACTTTTCAGAAGTAAGGCAATCAAAAAGTGCAAAACAACTACTAGACCCAATTCACACTTTAATCCATATATCACATGCCTAAAATTTAGAGGAAAGGCCTATAATTCATCCATGTTCTCTTGGTATCTTAAATAGACTATAACGAAAAAACAAATGTGATATCTCATATAAATTTTTTTGAGCATCGTCAAGTATTTTTAGTTTTAATCAAGTGGTTAAAGAAATTGCTCCTATTGTGTTGGAGTTACAAATTCTATATTGATCAACCATATCTCACTACATAGATTATTGAATTTTCCACGTCATTCTTTAGAATATTACAAGTTAGGATAAATTTTTCAAAAAAAAATCTATTTATGCAAAAAAGTAATATATTTTACTAGAACTCATCACGTGAAAGTAACGAGTTCCAAGAAAAATATTAAAAGGCTCATCCCCATGGAACCCACATACCTAAGTCTGTTAAAAAATAATTTTCAGGCAAACTCGTATGTTGGGGTGACGAATTTGCCCTATAAGTCCATACTATAACAAATGCCATAGATATTTATAAAATAAATTTCAGGTTGCCCAATTGAACTAATTGATTTTGACGCCCACAATATTAGGCTAATTTTGGCCATAACAACCACCTTAATATTTTTAGTTTTTGTTGACGACCAAAATTTGGTTTCATTCATAACTTTTTCTACATTTGTTTTCTTCCGAAAAATGTATATTTCTATAAAAGATTCAACGATTGTTAATTTTCTTAAGAAGCTATAATTATTTTCCTTTAAACATGAATAAAACTAGGGGTGTCATGGTCAGTTAATCGTACCGTTTAGCCTAAACGGTCAGTTAATCGTTAAAACGATTATTAAATTTTGTTAATTGTAACATAAATATTAAGAAATGGTTAATCGTTAATAGTTAACCGTTATTAACGATTCAGTTACAAGTTAACTAGAGGTTAACTTATTATAAATTTTTTAAAGCACAACACAACATAAAAGTTTTAAAGTTTCACAAAATTTAGGATGATGAATATATATATGTTAAAATCTTATTTATTTGTAGATGCATTTTGTTTTTTATAATATATATATATATATTATGTAGTATATTCATTTCTTTTGCACTTTAAAATTTTATGCACATATTTATAGTTTGCAATTTAAAATCATATATTTATTAATCCATGTTTGATTAAATGTGCTCTAATAAAAATAAGGAAAAGTCATTTTAATTTTATTTCTAATTCTATTCTCTTTAAAAGAATATATAATTTATGATCGGTTAACCATTTATCAAAATTTATAATTATATACATATTTATAGTTTGCAATTTAAAATCATATATTTATTAATCCATGTTTGATTAAATTTGCTCTAATAAAAATAAGGAAAAATCATTTTAATTTTATTTCTAATTCTATTCTCTTTAAAAGAATATATAATTTATTATCGGTTAACCATTTATCAAAATTTATAATTATATACATATTTATAGTTTGCAATTTAATTTGTACACCCCTAAATAAAACCACTTTTAAGTATCAATATTAATCTATATTTTAAAATGCTAATATCACAAATCTGCCGGCACGTTACGCGCCTTTTAACATAAAATTCAAAAAACCCTTTGTCCCGGGATTAAGGGCTAAGCCTTCTTATTCCAAAAGAACAAAGAAAAGCTAAACCTTATTCACTGCAAAAGAAAAAAAAAATGGGAGAAAAGAGCGAGACAATGAGCAGCAATCTATTTTCTTCAGTAATATCTGAAATAAAATCATATTCTGGCAAAGACCCTCTTCTCCCTTGGCTGCGGTACTGTGTTTTCACCTCGCTTTTCTTTCTTTGAAACGTTATAATTGTTTATATCAACTTTTTGATTCGTTTTCCGCAGAGGGATAAAGAAAATAAAAGATTCAGTCCCACCCCAGATTTTAAGCGAGAAGCTACCCCGGTTCTTGCAAAAATGTACCCAAACATTCGAATCCGACCGCCGTTACCATGACGATTTACGCTACCTCCGGGTTTGGTTACAGTTGGTAAATAAGCAATCGACCTCAACGAATCGAATCTTCAATGTTCATTCTTTATGGAAATTTACTATTATGTGGTTTTTGGGTTTTATTTATTTATTTGGACTGGTTTGTTCTGGTGAGTAGATGGATTTTATGGATGATCCAAGGGTGCTGTTGAGAAGAATGGAGATGAATCAAATAGGGACAAAACGTTCATTGTTCTACCAAGCATATGCACTTTACTATGAGAAGAACAAGAAATTTGATGAGGCTGAAAAATTGTATCATTTGGGTGTTCAAAAGTAAGGGTTTTTTTTCTCCTTTCAATTTTTCTTATAGCTGCAATGATTAAGCTGCCAATCCGCTTAAAGTTTGTTGCTAGGTATGGAAGGTTAGAATTGCCAAATTAGTAGTTGTAGATGTTATTAGCACTGGTAGTTGCTACTTGCTTTTGGTTGGTTTGATCATGAGCTTTTTAGTCTTTTAAAATCGGATTTTGGTGTATGTGTTAGGTATGAGTATGAATTCAACGTTAATACAATTAATTTTTATAAAAAGTTTTTATATTTAGCGTTCAATTGTGAAATGGTTAAGAGTCTTTCGAACCGATATTATCTTGTAACCAATCTAGACTAATAATAAAATTGTATACTCAAAAGAAAATGAAGACTCGGAACAGATGAACTGAAACCCGACTCAAACTTCTAATGAAAATTTTGAGGGAAATTCATGAGAAGTCTTTTTCCACGGGGTATATTTTGTTTAGTTTTATGATGCAGTTCTTTGTGTGTTGTGATCAATGCAACGGAGAAACTTGTGCACAGTTATGGATTTCCATCTTTTAATCACTTGATTATGATATTAAAGTTTTGTTTTCTTTCAATAATGTAATTTTGGAAACTAGAACTGGTGCTTTATTTAGTTTCCATCAAAATTTGAACAGCCTTGCAGAGCCGATAGATGAGTTGCAAAAAGCATATGAGCAATTCCTGAATCGTATGGAGAGACATAAGAAGAAGAAGAAAATGCAGGTTGTCCATTTTTCGCTTTTCTAATGTGCTTGTTTTTGTTGTCTTTGTTTTGTTCTTCAAAATCCGACTATTGCTTTGGTGTGTGGTGGCGCCAGGGAGGAAGAACAGCTAGAAAGCCTCTCCAATGCAGAGAGTTAAAAGAAAGCAGTGAAGCCAAATGCATAGTTGAGGATCGTCATAAGAGGTCTTCAGTATTACATAATGGTAAACAAGTGGAGGGACAAAGGGAGAGAGCTTTGATGGAAAGGGAGTTGGATGAACCCAGGAAAATTGGGAATGATGATACAGTTGTTGTGAAGTTTGTCGATACTGCCATTGTTGGGAAATCTGAAGCTGAAGATGCCTGCCATCATGGACTAGTTGATCCTACAATAAACATGAAAGAGGCAATGAATGCAATCAAT